TCCTGCATTTGTTTTTATGCCCTTTTTATATTTCTTTTTGCGTCTTAAAATTCACTTGCAGCTAAATCATTAAATGTTACTTTTTTGGGGGGGGCATTTCATTTTCTTGGAATTTAATTTTGTTTTCAGGGGTCATTGGATTTAAGTGTAATAAATAAATAAATAAATAAATGATTAAACAAACAAACAAACAAACAAAGAAAGAAAGAAAGAAAGAAAGAAAGAAAGAAAGAAAGAAAGAAAGAAAGAAAGAAAGAAAGAAAGAAAGAAAGAAAGATATCATCATCGCGGGGAGGGGGGCGATGATAACCTCCTCAATGGCTCAAGGGGGCGTTTCTTTCAAAAAGGTTAAGAACCACTGATCATGGCTATAATGGAATTTGCAGTTGTGTTGCATTGGCACTTCCAAAATTATGAGTAGATGGATGTTGGAGTGTTTTTTCTGATACTAGCCTAGAAAGCTGCTACCCAGGAAGAAGAGCAATAGATCTTCTTTTGTGATCTGCCTCAAAAGACAAGGTGCAATAGGAAATGCAACTGTCCTATATAGATTGAATTAAGTTGATTAATTCTATTGTGCCTGCCCATTTATTTGTTTGTTTATAAATCTGCTTCTGTTGTGATTGGATTTTAATTTATTATTTATTATCATAGATTTCTTTATCTATTAAGTCATTTTCCTACACTGACATGGGTAGAAGCTGTTCTGTAGAAAACATCATTGTCTTGGATTTTTAAATTTGGCAAGCCCTTGTTAGGTCTGTCCTCCCAACCTAGATAAGGGGGAAAATAGTGTGTTCTGTTGGCAGTTTTGGTAAATGCCATTTCTCTATCCATTATATCAAGTGTAATGTTTATATTCTTTCCTCCACAGTAAGCAACCAGAAAGTTGCCAGAAGTCTACAAGATAGACTTGGGGGTGATAGCCGCCTTGCTCGTTTTTTTTTTCTGGCTGTTTCTGTCCTTGATTGCCTCTTAATAAACCTCTCCTTTTCAGCTTTAAACATGTGCTCTGACAGTGAAAGTGATTATTCTGCTTCCTGCTCTGAAGAAGAGGAGGAGGAGGATAGTTGCAAAGAAGCTATGGAGGGCACTCCTCAGTTTCAAATCCCAAGCAGACCCCAAGCGTCTTCTGCACCCACCAATAAAGCAACGCAGGCTAAGAGACCGAAGAGAGACATTCCTGTGAGTACGGATAAAGTTTAATTTGTTACCCTACTGAAATTAAAAAGAAATACTGCATTTTAAAACAGCTATATTGATATTTAAAATAAAAACAGAAACCATTAAGTTTCAGAGTCTGACAGCATGTGTTTAAGATGCATATTGCAGCCCTGCTAGTCCAAACTAGCTTAACTCTGCAGATAAAGTTGACCCATTCTGATAAAATGCATCTTAAACTAAATAAATGGGGAAATATTAGTGCCTTTTTTCCAACCAGAGTTAGTGCACATGCAAAAGTCGCTTGACTTTTTCATATCCTTGACAATAAGATAGAAGATAAACAACATGCTAACAGTTCAAGTTCTTGTCTTCAGTTACACTCCAGTTTACACAGGTCAGTTCTTTTTTCACTTTAAAACCTTCTCTCATCTTTTTCTTCTTGTTATTCTTTGTTCAGATTAAGCCATCAATCAGTTCTCTCCATTACTTCCCCTGTAACATTTTTGCGGGAGAGACTATCTAACTATTCTTATGTATGTGGGTGTTTTTTTTTTCTTAGAGCAATTTAGTGGAGGAGTATTTTGAGGCACATAGCAGTTCCAAAGTTGTAACCTCTGACCGGACGCTTCAGAAGCTGGCGAAGAAAAAACTGGATCAGGTATGGTATGTGATCAGAGATGGCTGTATTTCTAGAATTTTCCCTGGACAGCTCTGTCAAGAACTATGTTTGCAATTTTTACTGGGCTCTCTCAAGTTTCTCAGTCTAGTTTAATATTTACATCTCTGTTTACCTTATGGGCAAATGAACTGGCAGTTTTGAAAAGGATGAAAGAAAAAGATGACCAGTTCAATTTAAAAAGGTGTATTGGGAGAAAAAATGTGCTGTTGTTTTGTATTGTCCAGCAACTTGTAAGGTATTTTGAAAACATTTTCTGATGGACAAGATTACTGGTGGAGATATTTGATGTTTAGTGTGGTGTTACTTTGTGTAATTCACATAGTATGCCAAACTCTGATTTCTCCCTCTGTTAAATAATTCACCTGACTTATGAATTTGATGCCCAGCTTCAGCAAGGTGGTACTTGTTAGTGAAGAGCATCTGGTTGAAGGATGAATTTGGCCTCCTTTGCAAGTGGTTTCTGCTCCTCTGAAGGTTGAGTTTTACGGTTTTTACAGACTCGGGGCTTCTGTGGTGTGTAAATATTTAAGTGGCCTCTACAGTGTACAGTCTGGTAATTGCATATACTCCTGGGCTGAGAAAGCTGTGGTCATTGCTGATAGAACACCTTGCTCTTGGACTGTATGCTGTCCTTGTTCCTTTTGAAGACTAAAAGCTGCACCAGCTCAATATTCTGTGGTGGGAACAAAGACGGTGTGTGGTTCGTTTTAGCTCCTGAACCGTTTTTGAGTACAGGTGAAAGAGCTGCTTTTAATTTTTAAACCTTTAATGGTTCTGAACCTTTGACACCGTAAGGGGTTTTTCCCCACATTATCTGTTTGACCATACATAGGTAAACATTTCTTGAAATTTTCAAGCCATGGGAAAGTGTCCCATGTTTTTCTAAGAGGAGAATAATTAGTTTAGGAAATGGAAATATGTGGACTGTATCCCCATCAACTCTGAAGTTATATAACAACATAACATTTATGCAGCTAAATCCAACTATTAGATCCAGGAGAGCGAATCCATTGAATCAGTGGGACCAACAGTAGTGTTGACTGACCAAAGTCTGATTGATTTATGGGTCTACTGTAGTTGGAACTACAATTGGATTCAGGTTGCTATTTATAACTTAGCATATGAAATACTATTTGGCCTATGTATGGATTTTACACAGTATTCTGTGCATATTTACTGAGAAATGTAAAACCTATTTGAATTGTAGTCTTAGAAGTATAGTTGTCTTAAATTTTGTAGCAAGCAGTTCATTAATCTTCTGATGGAAGAGGGAGAGCGAGATCCAAAACAGTGCAGATGCTGTGCTATTGGTATATCCAAATTATAGTTGACTAGAAGGAGGAAAGCATCTATGGAGCAGAACACTTTGTACTCTCTTTTCATGATCATGATTATCTATCCTATCTATCTATCTATCTATCTATCTATCTATCTATCTATCTATCTATCTATCTATCTATCTATCTATCTATCTATCTATCTATCTATCTATCTATCTATCTGGGTTTTTTATTTGATTTGTATGTATCCCGCCCATCTGGTCTATGCAACCACTCTGAGCAGTTAGTATCTTTAAAGTGCAGAAATGCATCTTGGGTTTCATTACTGTATATACTGTATACACAGGAATTCCTTTTTTTCAGGCTGCAAGATGTTTTATATTCAAATCTTCATATTTACATTTTGATTGAAACCTAATTGTAGAAAGCATTTTGCTCATTTGATGCAATTGAACATGATTAAGAATTTTATTAGTATATCATTAAGTTTATTTATATTTTAACATCTTCTTCAGTCCTGTATAAAAGCTGCTTTCTTTCTCCTGATACAGGAATCTCTACAAAACCTCTTGAACAAAGTACCTGTTGCATTTGCTGCTGAACGTGAAGAGTTAATAAAGCAACATAAAATGCTCTTTTATAAATGGATGTTGCAGCTGCAGTAAGTATCCCACAGGTTTCTATCAGAACAAGTTTGCAGTAAGGCTTTGTTTTGTTAAAAGACTTCAAAATAGTTCTCATTGCATAAAACTGTTTGTTTTTAATGTGGTTAATTGTTTTTCTGGAGCTGAGGTCTCCAATAACAGAAGTTTCATGTGGATGATAGTCTTAGTGCTTCCTGTCCTTCTTTGTAAATAGAAGGGAAATTACCACCTACAAAGGGGTTTCGAAAGTTTTAATTTTGTGGTCAGTGGTTCTGTGCAACAGACGAATACATGAGATGAAATACATCCAAGATTGTACTTGCTTGTAAGTAGACTTGCATTCACTGTCTAGATAAAATGTATAGGAGATAAGAATTGGTGAGGTTATATTCAGAGTATTGCTGCATGTGTCTTTATCCCAATGAAGGCACCACCTTTGAAATCAGGAAGATAATCACACCATTGCCACACCATGCAGTTCTTCAGTGTTTGATGGATAAAAGAATTATTGTTGTGGCCTGCCATGCAAATGAAGGCACCACCTTTGAAATCAGGAAGTTAATCACATCATTGCCATCGATTCTTGCAGTTCTTCAGTGTGTTTGATGGATAAAAGCATTATTGTTGTGGCCTGCCATGCAGAGATACGGGTTCACTTCTCCCCATTAAATGTAGCCCATCCAGAATAGGAAAGCTGAGAAAAGGGATGATGCCAAATGTTTTTGCTAGTGCACCCTGTGAGGCAATTGGGGATAATATGGGGTTCCTGCACATTTTTCTTCTAATCTTAACTTTCAGTCGATAGATTGGTAGCAAACAAGCAATGTCCAGTAATGTGTTACATTAATGGGTAAGAAATACTGGTTCTGTGTGTAGTGCACATGAAGTAACAGTTAGGATGAGCTTACCTAGGCCTTCTGCTGCCTACCACATTGCTTCTACAGTCCCTCCATTTCTCCTCACTTGACAAGCAGGTGCATTTCTCAACTGCAGTTTGAGGAAAAATAGATAGGGGATAAAGTTGCCTAGACAAACACTCCTTTCTTCTCCATCATATCTTTCCTTCAATTATTTCTGCCCTCTTTTCTGCTTTTTATGGTGAACATAAAGATGTGAATCCCACATTCGACGCTGAACACATAGCTTTGGCTTTTCAGGCCTAGAAAAGTACTAATAGTTGCTTCTATGTTTTTAAAGATGTCTGTGGTTCTTGTTTAGGACCAAATACATGTTTGCAAGAAAGAGCAAACACATTCAACCATTTGAAGAAGAATATAGCAATATCAAACAGAAATGGCAGGATGTACCAGGCTTGTAAGCTTCAGATTTTTCTTTTTTCTTCCTTGCAGCATGGGATTCAATATTGTCCTATATGGCTTGGGATCAAAGAGAGACTTGTTGGAGGATTTTCGGATTTCTTTCCTTCAGGATTCTATTCATATCGTTGTGAATGGGTTCTTTCCCAGCATTACTGTGAAATCGGTGAGCCAAAGAAAACAATCAGCATTTTTTTTTTTGCAGAAGTCTGTAAACGTTAAGTATATCTTTTGTGGTCATAGATAGCTTTTCTGTTCCATGGCTCAAAACAGAGTTTATTAATTTTCAGCTGTTAATTTTGGAGCACAAAGACAGTCTGTGCTGTGGGTACACATAGACTATATAAGTGGGACTTGCTTGCAAATTCCATTTATATATTAAAGAGCAAGCTATTATTCTATTAACTTGAAACTGAGCCTGATCATCAAAGAGTCATGGGGCACCTTTAAAACTAACATTTATTACAGTATAGAGTGAACAGTTGCGGATTATAGACCCCTTCGAAAAAATGTAATCTTCAGTCAAGATTCTTTTTAACTCAGCAGTTTTTCTCTCTAATTGCCCTTTGAAGTTTCTTGGCTACACAAAGGCATTTCAAGGTCAGTGATAAAGTGTCCTGGAAGACTGGAGTGTTCTGAAACTGGCTCCTCCCACCCACCCCCCGCAATGTTGGTCGTTCTAATGTCCGATTCATGTTACACAGAATAAAACAGTGTGGAATGTAGAAACACCTTGCTTAACAGAGGATAGTGTAAAAGACTAGGAGAGGAACAAGTGAATGAGCCCCTGATGTTGTGGGTGACATTGTTGGATCTTTTAATAATATTACTGGAGTAGATGCGGCATGGTACTTGGCACCTACGAGCCCCTGATGTTGTGGGTGACATTGTTAGATCTTTTAATAATATTACTGCAGTAGATGCGGTACTTTGTAGCAGGATGCTCTCCCTGTGTTTGTGGCCAGGTATCATTAATTACTAATTAAAGACAGACAGGTGTCTGTAAAGAAGTACAAGCCTACTTCCCAAAGCCCATGGGAGAGAATTATCATTATCTAGGATGAGTTGTAACTCATTGATGCATTTTAATGTAGTTTAACAAAGAGAACAAAGATACACAACACTAATATACATTCTGTTTTTGTATTTCCATATTTCAAAATGCAAATGTGAAAGGTACTTCTGTGCCTTTGAGTGGGTTTTTTAAATTGCATATTGCTATCATTATAACAATGTTTTAATGTTTTCAAGTTGAGAGAGTAGTCAGGGCTTTGTTTTTAGTCTATGCCTTTTAAG